GATTAAAAACTACCTAAGTTAACATGCATGAGGCCCTGGGTTGAATCCTCAGCACCAAAAAACAAAAGAAAAATATCTATGCATTTTTTCCAAAGTAGTTTTATACTTTCAAAATTAAACTAGCCTATAGTTCTGTAGTAGTTTGTATACTCATTAAACATATTAGTGATTATGAGAAACGAGGATATCTCTAAAAAAATTATCAATGACACTGAACCCACTCAACCCCCAAAATATGTGAAACTAGGGGAGTGGAAAAAGGGAGGTGATGGTGGGGAAATGTTCATTGTGTGCTACGTGCATGTGCAAAAAAAGAGAACAAAAGGATCTGGCTCAGAAAATGAAACGAATAAAACATCTTGATGAAAAAAATTATTAATGAAACAATTCTGAAATTGATTGCCTCAAAAACCTAAAAAGCTAGCAGAAAGCAAATGAACAATCACTTAATTACTAAGTATATTTCTATCAGATATTTCATATTGTCACCTGCTTAGAGTAATATACAAAAAATTAGACAGCAGTTATTTTAAGTACAGTAAATATGTTCCAAGATTTGTGATGAGAAAGGTCAGTCTCTAAAAGTTAACAAGACTTAATAGCTTAACAATGCTTTTCACTCTGCACACTGTAGCAAGTCACTAAGGCTATTTCTAAACAACAAAAGAGCCGATCAATTTTATTAAACTCTTGCTAACCAAGGAACCTTATTTATTTTTAAAGTCCAACTGACTTCATATTTTATGTTGTGTGGACAATCACAGTTTCTAATTCTGTAGCATTTTAATATTTTTATATTTAAAATATTTTTCTAAGATCTCATTATTTTTCTAATATCTTATATTCTATTTTAGCCTGAATACTCAAAACTTTTATGAAAACTATTCTAGAAACTCTGTAAGAGAATTCCCTTCTACTTTAAAAACAAACTTAAATGAACTTAATTTGTTTTATCTTGACAAATATTTTTATAGGAAGTTTGCTAACTACCCATTTCTTGTGTTGTATGGTGTACTTTATTGTTACTATTTTCAAGCTAATATTGATGATCTTCTATCACACTGCTGGGCAGAAGCAAAGCTTTGATGGATATTACCTGACAATTCTTGAAAATTATTTGAAATGGATATTCAAACATACTTCCTTTGACACTTCTGTCTTTCCAGAAAGTTAGCAACGATCATACTTTGGAGGAGCCAGAATGGTATATCCAAAGGAAGTGACGAATACCAGACTGAAAGCCATGAATCAGTTTCAACTTTAACAGAAACTGACTTTAGAAGGGTCACTAATTCTCTGTGCCCAAAATGCCCTTCAATAAGCAACTTCATGTCCCTATATTAAAAAGCATTCCCATTCACAGTTCAGTGTAACCTAAAGTTCAATGTGACTTGTTACATATACACACACAGGAAAAAAAAAACCCAGCCCACTATAGATAAGGGAATAAAAATCAATTTTACTGAATCCTATTAAATTATCTCCCCTCCCTCCAGAAGAAAAGCTAATGATGACAAAATTCTCAGAGAATTGCTAGGCACCTCCCTAACACTAACCTATTAATCTTTATAACTCTCATGAAGCAGACATCAAGCATCTCTAGTTTTAGAGATGAAAGAATGGTAAGACTACGTGATTTCCTCCAAGGTCACACACAAAGTTAAAGATCAGATTAAACTCTAGGATTTTGTGCTCATCATTTCTAATCAAATAGATCAAATTTTTTTTAAAGGCTATAAGTCAGTCTCTATGCTATCTTTTATACATATACCAATAAGGTAGTCACTAGCCATATGTGGCTATTAAGTACTTAGAATGTTTAACAGTTCAGACAGACTGTAATTATAAAAATACAAACTGGATTTTGAAAACTTAGTATAAGAATAACATAAAATACCTAATTGATTTTTTTAAAACACAATATTACATGACACAATGGTATTATAGATATATAAAATTAACTGTATAGGCAGGCAAGGTAGCACATACCTGTAATACCAGCACTCTGGGAGGCTGAGGGAGAAGGATCCCAAGTTTGATCCCAACGTGGTCAACTTAAGTGACTCAGCGAGAACTTGTCTCAAAACTTAAAACAAGGGCTAGGGATTCAGCTCAAGACAATGGCCCTGGGTTCAATCTCCAGTAAAGGGGGGGGAAACCATTGTACAGCATTGGTCTATACTTTTTTCCAAAGACCTCCCAATGAAACAGGTATCATCATAATACCTAAACCAAAAAAGCAGTATTCTCCTAGAATTTGTTGTATTCTACTTGCATTATGATTGCAACACAATGTAGTGACCATATTTGGAGGGGGAGAAAATGGACACAATAATAATGTTTTGAGAAGGCATGTACATAATTAGCACATATTCAAAACAGGCCATTATAGTGTTCTCTAAGGATAATAAAAGATATTTGTCTCAATACAAGTTATGTACATGTGATTTTACAGAAGCTTTTTTCTTTTTCAGTGCTGGAAATTCAACTCAGGGCTTCCTGCACCTTAGGCAAGCACTTTACCACTGACCTACATATGTGGTACCTACCTATGCCTGGTATATATGATTTTGAGTAAGTCACAGTGAGGAGAAAGTACAACTTTCCATTAGCATCAAATGTCATTTCCTCAAATGGAAAAGTGAAAACATTCCTAATGTATATACAGGAGAATCAGTTACTAGAAGGGCCCAAGGTACTTGTCAAATAGCTGCCTAATACATATTTTATTTATATTTTAAAATCACATAGTAGTCTAACATAGACTCACCACTTAATCTGATTTTGACTAACGTGGCAAGGAAAAAGATCAATTTTAAAAACAAGGATAACTTTAGAAAAAAGTCTGGAAATTCAATAAAGGTAAAATAGAAAAGTTTCTATATGACCCATACACCCACACAATATGTACTTGAACGTTCACAGTAGTATTATATATATTAGCCAAAAAATGCTAACAAAGCAAATGTTCATGGACTGATGAATGGATAAATAATGTGACACAGTACATCCCTATGTTGGAATATCATTTAGCCTGAAGGAATGAAATATTGGTACATTATTGTCACAATAACATGTGACAGGGATGAACCTTGAAAACATACTATCTTGAAACAAGCCAGCCATAAAAGATCACAAGTTGTACAATTCTATTTATATGAAATGTCCAGAAAAGGCAAATCCAAAGAGACAGAAAGTTGTTGCACAGGGCTGTGGTAGCTGGGAAATGACTGACTGGTAATGAGCAAGTTTCATTTTGGGTGGTAGAAATGTTTGAAGATTGATTTTGGTAATTGCTGAGCAGCTATGAATATGCCAAAACTAATTTTAATGGGAGAACTGTAAGGTATATGAATTAAAATCTCAGTGAAGATACTAGAAATGTAAAGTGTGTGGGGGGGGTATAGAGTTTGATAGGCACTTCATAACTATTTTTCTGGATTCTGTGGTATTTATTAGTTTTTAAGTTTTTTTTGAGACAGGGTTCCCTTTGAAGTGCAGAGTGCAGGATGGCCTTGAACTCATGGCAATTTTCCTGCCTCTGACTCCTGAGTGGTGGGATTACAGGTGTGCACGGTAAATTTTGCAGCTAGTGACTTTTAACTAAAAATATCTTTCATCACATTGTTGAAGAAGCAAATAAATTTACTGAAAGTCATAAATTGGATATTTTAAAGGTTGGCATGTGAATTATTTCAATGAAGATAATGAATTTTTTCATTAGAAAAAGAACAAGGATATCATCACATGTAAACCTTTAAAAAAGAGTAACGACAACGTTGGACATACAGTTTTTCAAACAAATGCTCAAGTGCAGAAACATCACGGGAATCTGAAGATCACTGTATAAAAATGTACAGAAGGTCAACGTTAAAAAAACCTACCACTTTCTCTTAAAAGGTAAATTCTTGACTCAGAATGGATTAAAAAAAATAAATTCTTAAAGCTGAAAAGAACAAGTGTTTCATCAAAAAAATCCCACTAGGATGTGTGTGTTTTTAACACATATACCTTATGTAGGCTGAAAACTTCAAGGAACTGTATGCAAGACCACGAAGCTGCCCGCCCCCCCAATATTAAAGCGTGATGGTGCCATTCCACAGCCCACCCCATCCCCCACCTCACCCCCAGCAGGTGGAGGGAGGATACTGTAGATTAGAGGATGACAGTTTTGTATAACCGTTTGGACTTTGTACATCAGAATGCAGCTGGTGGTCTCCACTTAGGAAAGGGAAAAGAGATTTGTGGACAAGCTGAAATAAAGGGTATCCTCTGCTTGCAAGAGGGAACACCGTGAGCCACATCTTGAATTAGCTATGTTCAGAGTAAAACAGGCCGCTGGAAGAACTGTTAGTATCATCAGGACGGCCTCTCACGCTGGGGTGGCTTTTTTTTTTTTTTTTTTCAACGGAGAAGTTCACTCCTGTAGTTTGGATATTGGGGAGAAGCAGGGGTAAAGCGGGAGTCGGGAAGACGAGAAAAAAAATGCCTTTGCCTTTAAGTGGAGACGCCTCGGGCCTTGCTGAGGAAGTTCCCAGCCCCTATCGGTTGCCGCACGCTCGTCCCACAAAACCCCCTCCCGCCGCACCAGACATCGGTGCCCGACAAGAGCCGGCCTCTCCGCCGCCAGGAGCGAGGAGCGGGGAGCCAGGAGCAGGCAGCGGGTTGGGGCCGGGGCATCGCAGGCCGCCCGCGCACGCCTCTTCTTCCGGCGCGCTGCGCCGGCCATTCCGCCCCTCGCACCCGCGGCGGCCGGCTCTGCGGGGCAGGCCTAGGCCGCGCCGGCTGAGCCCGGGCACCTCGCTCCCCGGCGGAAGAAGAGCAGGCCCGACACAAACTTCCCGGCGCGTCGGCCGAAGCGTCACCGGCCGGCGGCCCCAGCGCCATTCCCCCGCGGCCCGGCGGCGGCGCCCGCCCCGACTCCCCACACTCGCAGTCCCGGCAGGGACCCGCCCGAGACCCGAGGCCCACGGCCCGCGCCCGCCGGGGCCCGTGAGTACCTCCAAGTCGCGGCCTTTGTTCTTGAAATTCTTGAGCCGCTGGTTGTCCAATTTCTCGTTGTCCGCCATGGCCGGGCCGGCGATTCCTTCCCCAGCCCGGGCCCCGCGGGATCCACCCCAACCACCGCGCCGCACAGACACTCCCAGGAACCGGGCCGCCGCCTGAGCTGCTGCGCCTGCCGGGCAGCCGCTTCCTTCCTACTCTCCCCCACCTCCGCCGCGGCCTTCTCCTCCTCTCCTCGCCCGACCCCCCCCCCCGCCCTAGCCCCAGCGCGACGGCAGCTCCAGCGAAGACAACTGCGGGGCCGGGCGGCGGCTACGGCGCCGGAATGTGCAGCCGGCTGAGAGGGGGAGGCAGCCTCGATCTGAAGGCCCCGGCGCCGCGGCCACGCCCATTGCCCCCAGCCTTGCTTGCCGATTGGTCAACCTGGCTCCGGTGTGTTCAGCCAATGAAAAGGGGCGATGGAGAGCGGGCGGGGCGGGGCGGGGGGGGGGAGAACGCGAAGGGGAAGAGAGCCACGCAGGGAGGGAAGGGCCGGGGGCCGGGGGCCGGGAGGGTGGAGGGGAGGGGTGTGGCGAAGGTTGGGCGAGGGGGGACCACGTGGCTGGGGAGAGGGGGAGGAAATGAAAGAAGTGGATTGGAGGGGAGGCAGGGAAAGAGAAGGAGAGGCCGGGGGAACGGGACCGGAGCGAGTGGGTTTGCTGCGCTAGTCAGTGCGACCCCGGACGTCGGGGGTCCAGGGGGAAGCCGAATTAAAGTAACGTTCTTTTCTTCTCCGTGTGCCGCTCTTCCGGGGTGATTCTGGAGCGCTCTGCTCACCCAGCTAGGAGCCCTGGCGTGGCGTGCGGTCGTGGGCCCCCGGCCCCAGGGTTAGGAGCGTCTGGGCGGACGTGAGTTCTGGGGGGACGGCGGGGGGACGGCGGAGGGACGCCGGTGGGAAAGGAGAGGGGCCCATTAGAAGAATAGGATTAATCTTTGACCAAGTACCTGCAACAGGTAGGAACTTGGGAGGAGCTGACGGTCCTTGGACGCCACTTTCTGGGAATTTTGTTTTAGAAAGTTGAAGAAGCTGCTCGGCTGCAAAATGCTAATCTGGAAGGCGGGGACCGAGGCGCCTGACAGTGATAAAATACTGTAATTCTTTTGAGGAAAAAAAAATGAATTCCAAGGATACCATCTTTACCAGGAACATCGTTCGAGGGGCAGAAATAACACAAGCTACAAAAGAACGTAAAGTTTCAGTAAAGAGTATGAGAAAATGTTTTAAAATATATTTAAATATAATAGCACCTCACATGTGCTATGCGAAGTAGTTAGCAGCAACTTAGTTCAGAAGCAAAAACAGGCGCTGGATGTGTTTAAGTAGAGGTAGGAAGGAGAAAGCCTACAAACTCCTTTGTGGTCTCTTCTGGTCCTTTCGTGTCATTAGTGTCATTAGTTCTAGAACAAGTGCAGAAATAAACGCTTAAGGTGCAGACGTTTAACACTTACAGAGTCAAAGGAAAAAGACAAGGAAAGTTAAAAGTTAAAGACCAGAAAGTTAAAGACAAGGAAGCCGTGCGTTTAAACAGTATAAACGACAGTTGCCTCTGAAAAAGGGCAAATGAAGATAGCTGGAATACTATAGGAGTCACTTGAAGATGTTTTAATGGGAGGAAAGCTTTCTTTAAAAAAAAAAAAAGCTTAGAAGCAGAGTAATCTTTAAAGTCCTCAGTACGTTGCATACTTTCCACTAGGACTGTGGCAAACTACCTGGAAATAATTTACACTAAAGATTAACTTGACTGTAAATTGAACGCAGATCTTAAAATATAAATGATGAAGTTCATTATAAATTTGTATTCTCCCAAAGGACCCATTTAATTGAAGTATTAAAGTATTGTATTTGCATGCAAGTTTAGGATGAGACACTTCATTTGTAAAGCTGGAATATGTATTTTCCACCACCATGGACTTGGTCATAAAAAGGGTGCAAGAAAAAAAACTTAACTAGTGAATTCTTACTCTATGACTAGAAGTTATTCTGTAAGCATCCATGTATGGATGAATATTTTGTACTTCTTGAAATAAATTTCATGATTCTTTTCATGATGAAGTTTAGAGAATTGTCTGTTGTTATATGTCTTCATATCACACAGATACAACTAACTGTATTTGATGAATAAACAGCCCAAAATTCTCTCTGCAGAAAATTAAAATGAGTTTGATCAGCATTACCGAGAGAGATGCAACACAAATAGGCAATAACCACACCTTGTAATTGTATTTGTTTAATGTCTGACTAAAGTCTGTTTTCCTCTCTAGACAATAAGCTCTCTGAAGTCAAGGACAATCAATATTTGTTTTGTTCTCTACTGAATACTTACCACTCAGTAGTACTTGCCACATAGTCTGCACTCTTATTTGTCAAGCACCAGAACTGAATCTAAGCTTTTTCAAGGGTGGGTCCCTGAAATTGAAAAACAAATCAACACTTATTTATAAAAACGTGTAGATTGAGTTGTTACTGCTTTTAATTTACACTGAATTTCATGGAAGAATACTTGATGTTATGCTCATTCTAGGGTTAAAACGTAAGGAATAAACATGTTTCAGGACAGAACCTTCTACATGTTTAAAAGAGTGATACATTTTGTAAAGACAAACAATTATCCTTAATTATAATTTGTAGGTAGTCTTGTTTGCTGGCCTAAATTCTTCAGTTGAAATTGTCACTGTTCAGTTGCCAACAAATTTACATGTTTAATGCTTGTACTTCCAGTTCTCCTAAGATAGAAGATACATAATTTATCAAAAGGATAAAGAAGTTTTTCAGGAAATTGGTAATTGCTTCAAATGCAACTTGGCCAACTAATTGGCAAAATACAGTAGAATTAACCCTGGTTAGGAGGTTTTATTTATTTGTTTTTTGAGACACAGTCTCACTGTGTAGTTCAGGGTGGCCTTGAACTGGAAGCCAGTCTCCTCCCTTAGCCTCCCAAGGTGTAAACCACCACGCCTGGCAAGATTTTAGAAATTTGATTTGCCTGACTGAGGAAATAGTAAAATGCAGAATCGTAAAGAGGGCTGCTGTAGCAACTTGCTGTATATTAGGTAGCAAGTAAATTTATCTCAGTTCTGAAGGATATGAAGTCCAGTATCAGGGTGCTAGCAAGATTTCCTATCAAGTGAGGGTTAGCTTCCTGGTTTGCAGAGAGCTGTCTTTGTATTTTCTATGACAAAGCAACTAGAGAGAGAAAGCTCTCTTGTCTCAATCTTCAAGAACAAATTAGCTCTTAAAGGCCTCACAGGGAGAGGATTTCAAGATGAATTTTGGGGAACACAAACAGTCTGTAGGAAACAGAATAACCAAATACACAGTTGTAACCATTGTAAAACCTATTCTACTTAGGATACCTGCTTCAAATATGCTATTCAGTTTTAGGTAACTTCATATCCTGACTTACTATTTTTGGCATAGGGAAAATTTGGAGATACTTAAATTCAATGAATCATGAAGTTCTCAGAGTCATATGAATAAAGAAACTGTTTTGCAACAGATCTGTGAGGGAATTTATAAACTAATACACAGGGCTTGGGTTGGTAAAATATATCTCAGAATTATAATTGTTAATTATTTCATTTAAACAGTTTGGATTATTCTTATAATATGTACATTAAATAGAAAATTGTGGAATCCCTCTAATCTATGTATAGATCTTATTATGGTCTTTACTGTTTTGGGAATACTTTGGATTATGTGTGATTTCAGCAAAGTGTACTGGCTGAAAAAAGAAATTTTGTATGTAGCTAAATCTCACTAAAATATAATTTGTGTTTGTTATAGTTGGGCTGCTTCCTTTTTGACAGAGATAATCAAACCTTGTGAATATAGTTTGTCCCCCAAGTTTTTATGTATTGGTAGCTTGGTCCCCAGTGTGGTGATGTTGGGAGACCTTTAAGAGGTGGGTCATGGCAGGAATTGATTAGGTCTTAGGGGGCATCCCTCTCAAAAGGGATTAAGGTAGTTCACCTGGAAGCCAGAGTTAATTCTCAAGAGAGAGTTGTTCTAAAAGGAGCAAACCTAGCCTCTCCCCAACCTTTGGCTGTCTTGCTATGTCATCTTTCCCTCATACATACTCATAATTCCATCTGCCATGATGTGATGCAAGGGGTGGGACTCATTAGAGCCATTAACTATGCTGTTTAGACTTGCAGCCTACAAAGCTAGGAGCTAAATAAACCTATTTTCCTTAGAAGATACCCTGCCTCAAGTATTTCACTGCAGTAGCAGAAAATGGACTAATACAGTAATATATTTTCTCTAGAAAACAAAACTGGTCAGGTATTGGGGGACTTCATTTCTTTTCATTGCTAGACTTTTCTGATTTATAATTTGTTGGAAACTGACTTTAGTTTAACTAAAGAAGGTGAGCTGGGTAAGAGATGATGAAGTAGAATTGATATTAATTTGATTTAAAGAGGAGAATCACCTAGTTGTACTTTAGCTTCATGGTCTTTTTAAAATTTAATTTTGAGTATCTTAATTGGAAAAAAATTAGAATTATAGGTGCAACTACCACCCCAGTATTTCTCACTTCACACAAGCTCCCTATTTTTTTTGTTGTTGTTACTGTTTTTCTCGTGTGTGTTTGTGTGTGTGTGTGTGTGTGTGTGTGTGTATTGAATTCAGGGCTCTGGACATGTTAGGTAAGTGCTCTAACCCTGAGGTTCATCCTCAGCTCTTTCAAAAATTTGAGACAGTGTCTTGCTAAGTTGCTCATGCTGCCTTCACAAACTTGTGATCCTTCTGCCTCAGCCTCCCAAGTAGATGGGATTGAAAGCATGTGCCACCATGCCTGGTTATCCCTATTTTTCTATACTTTTTATTTTTGAATAATTACAGAGTCATGGGAATTGAAAAAAAAGCAAAGGCACAAGGAGATTCCATCTCCTTTGTTCCATCTCCATCTCCTGTGTCCCAATGGTGCCAGTTACATATACTATATAACTGTAGTATAGCATGGTGTAACTATCAAGGCAGATAATATTGATGTAGTCCACAGAGGTTATTTAGAGGAGAAGGAAGAGATTAGAATGTAAATAATATATGAAAGTATCAGGGATACTTATATAGTAGAACTTTTAACATTATGTGGGAAAGAATTACATAGTGATAGTAATAGTAGTTGTTACTAAATATTAAGTACCTGCTATATTTTAGGGCTACATGAATTTACATTAA